GGCTATGATTTAAGTGGTCAGTAGAATTACTGGAATGGTCAGTGTACAAAAAAAATATAAAGTCAGTAAAATAACTGAATGGTCAGTAAGATAATGAAATTGTTAGAGAAAAAATTAATGATCAGTAAATTAATCGATCGGTCAGTGATTAAAATAAATCGATCTGGTGATATACTTTAAGAGTCAGTAAATTAAATAAAACCATAAGTGGAAAAATCGAAAAATGAGCTTTCAATAAGATTTTTGGTGATTCTCATTGTCATATTATGCGCTAGGCACACATAAAAAGAAAGATTGACAATCGGGTATGTCAAATAGATGACAAAGACATTGCAAAAGAGATAATTGAGGATATCGAAGTGCTTCAATTATCCGATTCTACAGAAGTTTTCAAATTAGCCTCTGGACTATTCTTAAAGAAATGGAACATGAACAACAAGCAAAAAAACCAATCAATATTGGATTTTTTGAATTATTTTGAAAATGAATGGCTTCGATCGAATGATGGCAGGTATGAAGGCATACAACTTTATGCACCCAGCACTAACAATGTCCTCGAAGCAACCAATAAAATAATTAAAGATGATGGAGCATTTAGAGAACATCATGTATTATCACGATTTTTGACAATAGCTACCAGTATTGTCAACAATTGATCAGTTGAACGAGATCCAAGCCTCGTTAATGCAAAAACATTTGCTACCGAACCTACAATATTTTTGAAGTTATGGACTACATCTTATCAATGGGCGAAATCGACGAAAGATGTTATTTGTTTCCAATGATGGTTCGCAAACGTATTATATACCAGCACGTGATTTACAATCGATTACGCAGATCGAATTGAATAAATATAGGAAAACGAAATGGACCACTTTTAATCAATTCAAAAAATCGAATGATATTTGGTGTATGACCATGGAAAATGGTTCAAATTGGAAAGAATCGAAATGCAACTATCCCCGGATTTTTCAAGAACTTTATAAGCAAACATATTGTTGGTATGGCTATTCGTTTGAAACATTGCAAACCACCATCAGCCGCAACGGCAGTGCCCATCGGAGAAAAGTGTAGGTGTTGGTGTGGGTGTGTAGGTGGAGAGAAGAACTATCCTCAAACCCACACCTACCCGCACTCACACCCCACACCCGCACCCACCCCCACCCCCACCCCCACCCTCCATCTCCTGTTGAAACAAAGACACAAAAATCCTCAGAACACTCCGCAAAAAATTATGTTTTCCTTTTTTAATGACACAGCACTTTGTTGTAGTCTGCTTCTGATTCCATACACATGTAAAGATTGATTTGTACATTATTTATTTTTGCATTGAAGCGTCAAACCAAGCATTGCTCGTGAATAATCCGCGAACGTGTTCATCTCGTCTATCTTCTCTGTCATCCATCCATTTTCTCAGTCGAGACGATTGGAATTTTCCAACAACAACGTTGACTAGGAAAAAATGACAAGTGAATGATGTTGCAGCTCGGCAATATTACTGCATTCGTTCTTATCTCAGCCGTTGTTTCGAGAGAAACGCAAAAGAAAAGATAAAGAAATGAAAAGTTGAGTACGCCATCACATATGTTATAAAACGAATGTGACAAATCACTGTTAACCTCTTCAGGACGAAATATGGGTAATAAATGTGAGTAAGATTTTAACGTGATCAGTATTAAGTCTGATTCAACTTTTGGTAGATACTAAAATTGCTCCAACATCTGCCAAAACTCTTTCATTCAAGCATGTCTGGCTTACTATCGAGCAAAGCTCTAGCACAGCTGAGCTCTATCGACGGCTTGATGTTCAACTATTTGCTGCTGACAAAACCAACAATTGTGTAGAGTTTCTTAGCAGCGTCTCGCCGCAAGACAGGATAATTTTCATTGTCGATGAACAGTTGTCTCGCAATGCTGTTCAACAGATTCATGATCAATGTGCAGTTAAAGTGGTGTTCATCATCCGATCTTCAACGATCGATCCTCAATTTGATGAATGGACTAAGTCCTATGTTAAAGTAAGGATTCTTAAATATTGAAAGGCTCACTCTTTAATACAGTTCTTGATGCTGCAAAGAACCAAGTTATAGGAATAGCATCGTGTTTTTTAGAGTTTAATTATCACGCCATTGTTAATTTCATGCTCAGACTCTAATGATACCTAGTCGAAAGAGATAGTAAAAGAATAAAGGTTTGTTCAACCAATAATATTCATTTCTTCCTCTTGTTTAAGGTCAAAAATGTGGCTTCGCTAGATATGTTAGTTCCTCAAGTAGAACACTTCGAATCGCGCTGGTTGCGCACTGTTGATGAATTTTTTTCCATCGACGTATTTCAACACAATAACAATCAACGTGATGAGTCAACAGTTGAACTCAATGGCTCATTTCTGTTCATGCAACTACTCCTAGATGTTTTGCTACGCATGACACCCTTATCAACTGATAAAGACGAACTCGTTGTCGAATGCATGAAACAGTACAAGAATCAACCAAGTATTCTACAAGACATTCAAAACTTTTCCGAATATTATGATTCGAATATGGCTCTATACTTATACACCCGAGCCACGTTTCTTTACCAAGTACTCAACAAAGCTCTGCGAGTCGAAAATATTGACTTGCTCCACCTTTTCCGTTTTTTCATACGCGATATTCGTGATCAGCTTGCACAACGACAATGTACTTCACCTATCAAAGTATATCGAGGTCAGCTAATGTCTATGGAAGAATTGATTCGATTGCAGTCTCTACTTTTCGAACAATTGCCTACAACAGCGACCGTCAGTTCTACATTACAGGCGATATACATATGTATGAAATCATTTTTATCTACGAGCACTGAGCGAAGTATTGCCGAGTTTTATGTTGATGGCCAACCATCGCCAGGCCTCTGTCTTGTTTTATTCGAAATTGACGCCGATCCTATTGTTTGTGGCCAAGCTAATCCATTTGCTCAGCTCGGCGAATCGAGTGCGATGCCAATCGAGAAAGAAGTCCTTTTCGCGATGAGCTCCATCTTTAGGCTCACCAACATTCGTAAAGAGGATTCCAAGTATGTTATCTCGTTAGAACTGTGCAGAAACGATGACAACATCTTTAAAAGTGTATTTGATAATTTGAAGAAAGACTATGGTGGTGAGTTAGCGGGCAACGAAGAAGAAGCAAGTCTCAATTCCTTTGCCACCATCCTTTTTAACATGGGAAAGTTTGACTTGGCTGATAGGTTCTTTCGTCGTTTTTACAATGAACTGCCACAATCGCATCGTGATCGTGCTCGATGCTGTCATAACATTGGCAATGTTGCTCTTGAAAAGAAGCGGTACAAAGAAAGTCTTCGATGGCTGAATAGAGCACTCGATCTATACCAGCAAAGTTGGCCATCCGACCATCCTGGATTCGGTAATACTTATCATTGCATTGGCAATGTGTACCAGCATAAGAGACAATATCAAAAAGCCATAAATGCTTATAAAATGGCCATGAACACATTTAGGCGGAATTGTGGCTATAATCATAATCGAGTCGCTTTATGTTATTCGTCAATAGCAAGTGTGTATTTACAAGAGAAGAACTTCGAACGAGCTATTTCTTTTTGTCGTGAAGCCCTAAGCATCAATGACAAGTGTCTGCCACCCTTTCATCCACAGCTTGCATTTATTCACAATTTGCTTGCAGTTGCTCTTAGCGACAATGGGCAACGAGATTTGGCTTTTCAGCATCACGAGAAAGCCTTAGCAATTGGCCTCAAAACGTTGCCACCAAGCGACAAGCTTCTCGGGATGTTGTATGCCAACACTGGAGAATTCTATCATAAAATGGGAAACGTAGAGACAGCCACTAAATATTTTCAAGAAGCCGCTACCATTGCAAATCATTTGCCACCAGGCTCACAAAGACCGTTCTTCAATAAGGTATATTATGGATGTTCACGATGTGGACAGTTTATATGGACATACACTGTATTCGATCGAATTAAAGAGTCACTCCCGTTCTGCTTTATCTTTCACTCAAAACTATCCCACTGGTGCTACGAATTGTGCCATTGAAGAACTGCTCATTTATCATATGGCTGTAGAAAACGTTTATATAAAATGACAATAAGATGCTAGGGGCAGCAACCATGATTAGAGGACAGGTTTATTCAAAAAATAGGCGGCTCAGATAAGTTGCCTATATTTTTTCGGGAAAACCTTTTTTGTATTGGTTCTTTTCCAAAAAAAGAAAATTATCATATATTGGCGTGTGGG